AAAGTAATGTATCTCGAATGTTTTTTATTACGAGGTATATGTTTATGTCATGAATGGTGTGAATGGTAAAATGGGGCATGGGAGATCGGCACATTCAATCAATGTTCAATGATAATGATAATGTTAACCGTTTTGCAATACTACCTGTAGGATTCGACCAAGTTTCAAATAATAATTGCCTACTGCATTCTAATTGGCTAAGTGATACACCAGGTAAGCTCACAACGTCAGTGTTAAGTCATTTTTTACAGAAATGAAAGAAATGGGATATATGTTGAGAAATACATGCATGATGTTTGTTTACTGAGCATTACCTCATTCCATGTTATTCCTCCCAAATTTTAGATTACAAAGGTAAGATGATTCGATACTACTACTTGTGGTGAGGCAAACTCGGTGCTAATACATTAAATGTTGACTCAATTTGAAATAAGTTTAATGTTTATTTTGATTATCTTGTATTTTTATTAAATATAAAAGTTTTTTAGAATTTTATTTGAAAATAAAAGTCGTTAATATTTTTATGTTAAACTAAAATTTACAACCAGTTTTCCGCATTTATGGTTTTAAGAGGAAGTTAAATGATAATACTTTTAAAACTAGGTATCTGGATTTTGGGTGTTACACAAACTTTATATTGTGATGTGTATAGGCCATTATTTGTATCATTCAAATTTTTATTTCAACTCACGTTTGAATGTTTTTAAGGGAAAAAGTTTACTACTTTCGAAGCATGAAATATTTATTATTATATGTTATTAATTAATATGTATATTTAGTGGCGAAGCTAGCACCTGACAAAAGGGCCTCACGTGCTAGACTCTGTCGGAACTTTCAGTACGTCGGGTGTCAGTTGTTGAGCAGAGTGACGGTGGAAGTTGGAACTATGGTCCGTGGAAGAAGGGGAAACCGAAGAAGACGACTACAGTAGTTGGGCCTAATTTTTATTTTTATTTTATTTTAGTTTTGCCATTGTTTAGGTTGGCTATTTTAAAAAGGGAAAAAATAACAAACCATGTTTTAAGTTTGCACACTTCAAAATTAAGGTGGTTAAGTTTAATTATGCAAAATCAGGTTTTTATCTATATAATTAAAAATAATTAATAATTAAATATAATAAAAGTCACAATTACATAATTAATGGTCACAGATCTTCAATTATAAGTCACAAATTTATTTACTGATCACATATCATCAAATTAATTGGTCACAGATTTTTTCGTTGTCACAAATCAAAAATTTTGTTGATCACAGATTTTTTTCGTGGTCACAAATCAAAAATTTTGTTTTAAAGGTCGCAAATAAAATTTTTTATAGGTCATAGTTTTCATCATTAGTCGCAGATGAAAAAATTATAGGTCACAAATTATCTATTAGTCACATATTTTTGAATTTGTTGGCTACAATTATCAAATTTTAAGGTCACATGAGTCACAGGTCAAACAGTTGATCACATACCACCACCTCCTCCTCCGTCGCCACCACCCTCACCTCGTCATTGTTGTCACCGCCACCACCAAACCACAATAACATCACCACCAACAAAATTGTCCAATCAACTGCTAACAAAAACCTAGGCAACTCTACTAGCTCTCCAGCCACCAACCACACCTCCATTGTCGCCAGAAACCACCCGACCGTCACCACCAAAAACAATAATAATACCCAAAGCACAATTTCACCACCGTTTCCATCCAAACCACCACTGCCAACAACCATCGCCTACAACACCACCACCGCTCACAGCCAGCGTCAGGGGCACCACCACTGCAGGACACAAATCGAAAAAATTTCAACGACTCACTGCCTAACCATACCATCTACAACCAACACCGCTTGCAAGATCACCATCTCGCCACCACCTGCATAATCATACAATCTGAAACCACCAATCATGACCAACAAACCACACACCACCACTGCCTATCCAACAACCCCCACCATGACAATCGGATCCATCCCTACACCACTACTGCCACAAACAAAAACCATACCACAAACAAAATTAAGTAGTCACAGGAGTGAGTGAGTGAGTTCTAAATCTGCCGACGATGATATCGAAGAACCCGACTAGAGAATTAAGAGAGATGCGATGGAGCCATCAAGTGAGGTTGCTTTAGAGGAGTAGAGGGAGAAGAAAAAAAACATAATAGCCGCCGGTAAGGTTGACTCAATGTGTCGCTATGTTTTGTGATGAGAGAAGGAAGAGAATATGGAGCGATTGAGAAGACGGTAGAGAGAGAAAAATGAGGAAAAATATTATGGATTGGAAAATTGAATTGGGTGAAATTAGTATTTAAATTATTAAATCAATATCTCATTTTTGCATAATGAAACTTCAGTCATGATTTTTGAATTGTGATGTTTAAACCCCGCTATTGTGTAATTCCCTCTTTTTATAAAAAAAAAAAAGAAAAAAAAAAAAGAGGTCCAATGGCCCCAAATCCAATCTATGGTCCATGATGTATATGTATTTCCTCTACCAGTGTACCAAATTACCAATGAGGCAATTACCAAATGAATTGAAGCAGTGCAGACGAGGAGAAGCAAGACGTGTCGCTGTCGGTCATTTTCCATTTCTCCACCTTTTTGACTCGATTTGCAAAGTTGGTCGTCGGCAACAGTCTTGGAGTCTTGGACGGACCTTCTATGGCTACTGGCTATGACTTTGTGAATTGTGGTGAGCACATTTTTCCTTCTGTCGTTCTCGTTCTCGTTTTTTTTTTGTTTTTTTTTTCAGTTTATTTCTGTGACATAGAAATGAGAATTGTGAATTTGTGATTTATGATAAATAATTTATGTTGTATGAGTTATGAGTTATAATTTATCATTTATCATTTATAAGCTTTGATTTTTATTTGGGAATTTAGGTTTAGGAAATTAGGGATAAGGGGAAAAAGTTAAAGAGAAGATGTTGGGCTCAATTGAACCACGTGTATTGAATTATATCTTCATATGTATACAATTTTAATGAGCTAGTACATTTACATATATATTGAAGAATTTTTAATATTATTTAATGTAATATTAATAAACGACATCGTTATTACAACCATTGATTGTCCATGGTCAACGGTCAATCGCTCTAATTGATCTTCGGTCCTGGACTTGCCATAGTATATTAAATAATTAAGAACTATTATTTAATTACATGTCAATTAAATAATGACGAGAAATATTGAATTCCACACTTTTGAAGTATTAAAACTTTCTCTCTCTCTTTATTTATTTATTTATTTATTTATTATTATTATTTTTATATAGAGGCTCATAGCTATATTAACAATTTGATTGTATAAATTAATCTCATATTTTCTGATTCCATGGAGGCAAGGTTACATGCCCCTCTATGTATCCAATTTTCATATGTTTCCATTGATTAAAAAGTCAAACCTCTCTTTGATCACCTTTGAACTTTTAAATTATTTGCTATAGTATCATTTTCTATCACACATTCACACAATAAAATATTCTACTCATAAATCGATAAAATTTTCATACTTTTTAACCACAAATTCTCCAAAATTACTATTCAAAATTCTTTAATTTTCCAAATAATAGGTCAAAGCCTCAATCTTAATGTTAGAAATATGGAAAAGGAGAAAAGCTAGACTCTATAGTTGTACCTTGCTGAAGTTTTACAAAAGGCATGTGTATTTATATCGAAGTTTCTAGATGAAAAAAAATTTATTTGAGATCCTCAATATTTGAAAAGTGTAACATTCATGTCCCTTTTTTTTTTTTTTTATTAAATATGTTACATAAGTCTTTAATCTTTTAAACTGGTACGACGAATTCGTGTTAAAAATAAGGTTCTTTTGTTTTACCTTTTCTTATTTTAATTTAAAATAAGGATATGGTTTTTATTTTAAGAATAAAGCCACTTATACAATAAGAATATGGTTTTTATATTGTTTGACTTTTAACACCATCAAAATTTAGTGGAGAATGGAGGTGTGACTGCTAAAATACATGATTTTGATTTTTTATGGGATATTTTTATTTTGTACCCGGTTGCCCCCATTTTTTTAAATTAAAATGAGTGAAATAGTATTTGTTTTTAAAAAAAAAAAGAATGGTTGAAAAAGAAGGAAAAATTTAAATTTACGTGTAATATTATTTTAACCTTGTTTGAGTCCTATTTTTCATTAAAATATATTTTTTAACAGTGATTTGATTATACTTTAATCACACATCTTTCAATAAAATAATATTACATGCGAATTTATGACTTTTCTTTATTTTTTAATTACATATTTTCTATCAACTGTTCAAAAATGCATATTTTTATGAGAATGAGAATCAAATAAGAGTTTTATGAAAGATTGTGTGTGTGATTGAAAATAAGAGAGAAAATAAAATTTAATTTAATGGGAGCCAAACTAGGGCTTAATTAATTATATTTGTCATTGAATTTTCTTTTTCTTTTTTTAATTGTACGCTAGTTAGTTTCAAATCATAACTTCGTCATTGATCAACTCAAGGACTCCATAAGGTAATTAAGTATGGCAAAATTCTCAGTTCCAACCTGCTGGAATCATAATTTCTATCCAAAATTCTTTGTCCACTTAAAGATGTCAATTCGACTTGTCGACCCATAGCTCGACCAGAAGAAGGCCCGAACCGACTCAATGGAACCAAGTCTCATTTTCGAATGACAGCCCGAGCCTAAGTCCACCCACGTTGAGCCACACGGGCCAGCCCTCATGGAAAGCCAAAATGGGCCTGCAGTGGCTGGTAGCTGCAAGAAACAGGGAAAAAAATAAATTCGAGTTCAAAAATAATATAAAATAAGTTAAATGGATGGTAAGAGAATTTTTTGATTTTCACCACATTCGGATCGGCCAACCGTTGGGAATGACACGTAAGGCCAATACTCGCACAAATTTTAAAAAGTGAGGACCTGCGAGTTACATCTGGTAGGCTGGGGACTCTAATGGATGAAGAACTTTCTAGAGTGTCTTACCTTGACCCTCTGTTCTTTATTTTATACCAAACTTCCACCCTTATAGCAGCCTAAAATAAACTCCATAGCAGTCATCGGAACTTGCAAAATTCCCAACATTTCAGTAACATTTGCAATCTCGAACTACTTTAGAGAATCAATTACGATTGATCCGTTAAAGGTTCAAAATGGATGACGATTTTCAGATTCCAGGTGCTGGCTATGACGCTGCTTATGGTGGAATGGGCATGGACATGGGAATGGGAATGGGAATGGGAATGGATGATTTGGAAACGGATCTCCCAGAGGAAAATCCAACTCTTAAAATTGGAGAAGAGAGGGAAATTGGCAATAATAATCTGAGAAAGAAGCTCCTCAAAGAAGGTGAAGGCTGGGAAAATCCCACTTCCAGAGATGAAGTTGAAGGTACATACAGTATTGTATACTGATTTGTCGGTACTATTTAATTCAGATTTCACACTAATATTTTGATAGCCTCCCCGTTTTCATTTTTCTCGTTTGAGCTATAGACGGAATGTTTGTTTTTAGATACTGTATTAAGACTTTGTATTCCATCTTAGTCATAGTTTAGGAGTCGATATGGGATTTAACCTTAACGAAATTACTGGTTGTTTGTTGATTTTTGCAGTTCATTATGTGGGTAGTTTGCTGGATGGGACACAGTTTGATTCTAGCCACGATCATGGCACCCCATTCAAATTTAAGCTAGGGGAAGGTATGCCTCTAAGAATTGAACGCTGAATGCCATCTTTATTGAACAGTAGAAGCTGCAAAACTGTTGATAATTAAAATTAATGATTCTTCTTATGTTTGGTTGTTTATTTATTCATATTTGTTGAAGTATCCTGCCACATGTTTTCCACGACATGAAATTACCACAAGTATAAGGTGTCAAATTTTGTAATATAGTTAAGGAGTTAAGAGTGTGGAACCACGGGGATTGTAATTCAATTTCTACTAAGGACTACAATTGTATAGCTCTTATTTTATATAGATAAATGAAAATTTGAAATCATTGATTTTAACTAAATGAAGGTGATGAATGTGGTGACAAATTCAACAAATAAATGCACGATATAAGAATAATCAATATGAGAAAGCCTAGGGTTGTGATTTCACCTCACTATCAATTATGATTTTCAAAAGTTTAGTTATCTCTAATCAATTTTTCAGGTTTATAAGCAAGAACTCAATTGTAATTCTACCCCCTCTCTCGAGTGACGGCTAGAAATTAATTCCAATATCTCTATTCATAATTAAAATCAAGAATTTATCAAAGTCGTGGTTCTTTTATGGAGTAAGCCTCATCGATCCTATAGTTTCTCTCGAAACCCATAAAATATATGTTGTGTTAATCTTATGATCATGCCTAAATTTCCCTCTTTTGAGTGCTGGAATTGATTAGCTATTTACTCATTCAATTAGTGGTCAATTAATTGAAAGCATTAAAATCATAATACAAATAAACACATATGGAAAATCAAATAAAAATAACTGAAATTAATCAATCCATATTCTCCAGTTGTGGTTACAACCAAACCCTCGATTAGATGTTTAGTTCATGATGGAAGAATTAAATTTAAACATATTGATGAATAAGATAAAGAGAAAAAGGAAGAAAAACTCTTGTGAAACTTTTAATTGGATTTCCCTTTGATGTTCTTCATGCCTCCTTGCTTAATTCCTTGATTCTAGCCTCCTTGCTCTTGATGAATTGTGGGTTGAATTGTCTTCAATCTTGTCCTCTTTAATTGTTGGAGAAAACAGGTCTTTTGAATGTTATTTATAGTATCTTGAAGTTCTTGGACGAATTAGGGTAGAGTTGGGTCAAGAGAAAGTCCAAAAACATAAAAAATCATTTTCCCGCATAGCTGGCGCCTTAGTGCCCAAGATGGGTGCCACGGCGCTAGGCATTCTGTTATTTTCAGAATCATGGGTGCGGGGCGACATGGCGATCGGTTTGGTCAAAAAGACACAGTATTTTTATTATAACTTTCTCGTCTAATGTCCGATTGAGGTGATTCAAAGTTTGTTAGAAAGCTAACTCAAAGGGTTACAACGTTTCTTCATACATCATTCTCCAATTCGATTGTTTGCTATGTCAAAAGTGGGTCTCAATATGAGACGAAAACTCTTTAGCATGACTTTTTGATTGGAAATTGATTTGTGGTCATATTTTGACTAAATTTGATCCCTTTGACATCTTTTTTCATCCAATTGACTCTTAACACTCTTGGATCTTCATTGCGAGGTTCAATACAACTTTTGATTATTTGCATTTTAGTCCCCGAACTTTGGATCTTTTACAATTTGGTCTCTTCTCTCCAATTTTGCCAAATTTTGCTTATTTTATTTAGTTTCATTAATCTATATCACAAAATTAAAACACACATTAAAACACTTTAAAACTCCTAGGAATTAGCTAAATTTCAAGTTTAGATAGATATCTAAAGTATGAATGAAATACACGCATCATATCCATAATAGGGGGTTCACCTCGTGTTAAATTTGAGGAAATATTTGTTCTTCTCTTGCAAAGTTTCATTCTTGACACTCTTTCAGTGATTCATAAGTAGAACAATATAAATTGTTCTTGGGTATGATATAGCAATTATGAAATTTCGTAGTTAAATTTATTTTGGATTGAGTTGGACCATGATCTCCAATTTTTAACAAATAAGAAGAATGCTAAAGAGAAGATTAATATCTCAATGTAATCTCGTCTTGAATGGAAAAATGCTGTCATTATACATAAGAAATAAATGTGTGGATTATAATTCTACTGTGAGAAATTTAATCATAACACTCCTCTGAAGAAGTGTAACTTTGGAAATGAGAACCTGTTTATTCTTCTCATTATCAATAAGGCCATAAAGCACTAGAGATATGCAGGTTTTAGGGTTTGATGTAGGAGTTTACAGTGTTTTAGTTACAATAGATCAAAATCTTCCTTTTTGTTTGGTCGCTGCTAGCACCATCTCATGAATAATTCTTGTATATTGGCCATATCTTTGATGATTTTCCAATTCCCCATTCTTGGGACGATCTAATATTTTACATTATTTGTTGACATTTCCTATTTTTCTAGTTTATGTTATGCAGGCAAGCTCTTCTATTCTGGTTCATAGTTTCTCTTGGCTATATGATTCATGCGGGACACGTTGAATTCTAAGTTAGAATAGAAAAGTCATAATAGGAGATCATGGAAATATTTCCTTTTAATCTTGTCTCGTTGGAAATTAACATTTTCCCTTTAGTAATAGGATTTTATATTATATCCTTCTATTGATAGGATTGTACTCTATGTATAAGATTGATTCAGTGTAAAATAGATCATTCAACCTGAATCTGTCTAAGTTGGTATCAGAGCTTAGGTTATCCCAATGTCTCTAAAACCTAGATTGAATCCCTTATTATACTATGAAAACTGTCATCATAACTTTTAGAGTAATGCCCAGTGTACAGGGCTGTCTCACAGATGTTTTACAGGGCCCCTCACTGTGTAGGGGCCTCACATGTATTTAAAAAAAAAAAAAAATTACGTGGGCCCCATGTATGTGTGTGGCCTGGCATGTCCCTGTTTTTGTAAGCCCAGCATGACTCGAACTCTTATTATAAGTACGTCAGCTGTTATTCACTGGCGTTAATTGAGCAGAAAAGTCAAAGGTTTATACTCTGATAAATATGAAATAGGTAACAGAGAAAGACAGTAAGATATGATTGCTTTTATGCCTGGTCAAAGTCTCCAATCAATGGTGCACCAAACTGGTCTAAAATGAACATTTCTTTTATGATTTGCAGCACAGGGCACATTATTTATTTAAAGGCAGAGATTTATGTTTGTGACTTCTGGGATTAGTGAACATATCCAAGTCATTGCTGTCTGGAGAAACACATATTAATTGATCTCTTGTTAGCTCCTCATTTATGTTGACATATTTCTACGTATAGCTTGTTTGAGAGATTTTTTTTTTTAAAATTTTTTTGAAAGTCATTTTTCCCCATAATCATTTTCAATGACAAATTTTATGGGATAATAACATTTCCCTACTTTTTACGGTTTTAGGAGCTATTATGTGGTGAAAATTGTTGCATGAGTGTCTTATGAGTGGACATCTATTGATTTGTTTCCTCAACTCTATGGGTAGTTTCATATGATAATGATATCTAACAAATTATATTTTGCACAACGAAGATAATCACAAACCCGTGACTCTTGAGTTGTGACTTAATTATAAAGTGGACGCATTTAAACTTTTATGGATTAAAATTGTTGTGAAAACAACATAAGTACCTTAGTATTTCATTATTGTTTCAAATTCAATGATTTAGCATTCATCTGCTGGGCAAAATTTTGGGGTAGAATTCTCAAATTCCAAAGAGTCATATCATTATGTGCACTTGTCTTTTATATTTCATTAATTTTGCCTTTTATATTTCATTAATTTTGAAACTTAATTTATGATGTGTTAAAAAGCAATCCAGTTCCAATGTTTCTTGGATCCAATAATTGAGGGCAATGCAGAGTTATTTGTAATTCTGAAACATTTATGGCTGCTTGTTAAGGTGGACCATACGGTAGACAAAAACAATCTTAAAAGGTTCACCTACTTGGCATCATGGCGGTACTTCACCTATTCACAAAACTGGTAAACTATGTATAGGTTCTTTCTTCAGTGCCAATGATAAATCATTGTAAATGCGGCAGTGTACGTACCAGAGGGCTCAGGTTATCATCCCTAAATATAAAAAGGCAATTTACAATGATTGTTGTAGGAAATAAAAATGTCATTCAGTAAGCTAGTCACTTCTATATATAGCAGAGCTAGTTTTTAATTTGATTATAAACTTATTCTTCAGATAAGGTTATAGAGGGACTTGATAGAGCTGTAAAGACCATGAAGAAAGGGGAAATAGCATTTGTAACAATTAAGTCAGAGTATGCATTTGGTCCATCTGAATCCCAACAAGATCTGGCTGTTGTACCAGGCAATTCCACTGTATATTATGAAGTTGAGATGGTCTCCTTTGTGAAGGTTGGTGAAATGTAATTCTTAACCTCCTTCGCCCTGTATTCCCTTCTTATAAAGAGCTTATTGGCACGGGATCAGTAGTCAAACCATTATGTGCAATTGACATCTTATTGATTGTAGGAAAAGGAGTCTTGGGAAATGAGTGCCCAAGAAAAGATAGAAGCTGCTGCGAAGAAGAAAGAGGAAGGGAATGCATGGTTCAAGGCGGGAAAATATCAAAGAGCCTCAAAAAGATACGAAAAAGTATGTAACTGATCAAGGGAATGACACTGATTCACTATGCCTTGTTGATCCGTGTTATTAACCTTCTAACACAATACTCTGCTGTCCTCAGGCTGTCTCGTTCATTGAATATGAATCTTCTTTCAATGAGGAAGAGAAAAAACAGGCTGAAGTGCTCAAAATCACTTGCAATCTTAATATCGCTGCTTGCAAGCTAAAATTGAAGGATTACAAAGAGGCAGAGAGACTATGCACTGAAGTGTTAGAAATTGATAGTAAAAATGTTAAAGCGCTTTATAGAAGAGCACAAGCATATATACATCTGGTTGAGTTGGATTTGGCAGAAGTTGATATAAAAAAAGCAATTGAAATCGATCCAGATAACAGGTACTTGGCTTTTGAGCCATGTTTGCTTCATGCTGTACATTGACTTGAGTACTATTATTTGTACCCTTATCTGTGGATACAATGTATGATATCAGGGATGTGAAACTGGGATATAAATTTTTGAAGGATAAAGTTAAAGAATACAATAGGAAAGATGCACAATTTTATGGTAATATTATTGCGAAAATGAGCAAGTTGGAGCAAGCTAAATCTGTAGTAAGTGAAGTTTGATATCTTAGTTCCATTTAATTGGTTTCTATTAAAACGAACTCTAGTTGTCGTTTACTGATTCTATGCTTTGACAAATTGCAGGGTGCAGATGCAAAGCATGGGAAAATGACAATGGCAATAGATAGTAAGTCATAAATCAGTGAATCCTGCTTTAACTAAGACCCCCACTTCGTCCTTTTCTACTTAAGTTAGACATTTGTTTACTAACGCATAGTCTACCATTGTTAGAGGATGAGAATACCAAAATAGTTTTTTGATATAAGATATTCTATAGTCAAGGCCACGTGACAAGTTAAGGATGGCAAGAACTCTATAACACTTAGAACAGACTACATATTGTCAATGTCCTTGTTTATAATGTTCGTGGATGAGAACAGACTAGAGTGCAGTATCAGGGTTAAATATTGGTCAAGGCACTCTACTCGACTCTGACATGTCTCTTGTAAACATATTAACTTTGGTAATTCTTTACTCTTGAAGTTGTGTGACGAAATTTGAAGGTTGTAATGGATGTTGTTATAAGAGCATGGTCTTTTGAAGAATAAACTGATGAGGATCTCCCTCATTCTGCTGGACCCCATTGATAACAAGTTGATCCATTGCCAGAGAAGAGGTTGGTTGAGGAATATAAACTATATATAGGATCTTGGAGATAAGGTGGATGTATGCAGAGAGATATACGAGCTATAGATGATGCTATAAACTGGTATGGAGGCCATGGCAATTGCCTCGAATAGTCTAGATAAAACATCAGAAGATCGTACGATCTTTTGAACTCGCGTTGTCCTACATTTGTAGAAATACCACGACCTTCTCAGTTAGTATAGCTGGAAGATGATGTTAATGAGATCGAAAGAGATCATAAAGATTGATGAAGATCACGAAGATTATGTAAATAATTGTAGTAACCGTATCTAGGTTAATTACGTGTTCTATATTTAGATTGATATCATAGTTGTATAAGGTAATATTTTTCCTATATAATGCAAGGAATTCCTGAAGGGAAGGTCATTCGGTTAAAAGTTTGTCATGGTATCAGAAGCCACCTCGTGGTCTTTATATTGAATCTTCATTTTTCTTTAGGCATATCTCAACTTCGTAGGGGTGGGTTTCTTGTGGTGGTTGACAGTTGATAGAATTTTTGTCAACCTGTGACGTTTGTGGTGGATGATTGATATAATTTTTGTCAACTTGCAAGTCCTTGGGGCATTGAGTGTGGTGTAGTTCCTGTCATCCCAAACCTATTTTGATTCCCTTAGTTTCGATCTATATTTTACCCTCACTCTCCTTGTTATTAAAAAAAATGTGGCTTGCCTTCTTGGTGGCTTAATTGCTACTATAGCTGGTAATTTTGTGAAGATGTGGGATGTGATTGGAGGTGGAAAATTGTTTTATTCAATGAAGAGTCACAATAAGATTACGACTTCGCTTTTGCGTGGGCTTATTTTGGAAGGATGGGTTGTGGCCTCTGTGTGTGGTTACTTTTGGGCTAGCTATTGGAGTTGGGCTTTTGATTTCTTTTGTACATCAGTCAACAAATTGATGCCTCTTAGTCATCTAGCATCAATCTGAGGGAAATGTCAATGAGATCGACAGATATCATGAAAATTGACGATGATCACGGAGAATTTGTATATAATTATATTTACCATATTTAGGTTAATTATATCTACCATATTTAGATTGATATCATAGTTGCATAGGGGAATACTCTTTCTATGTAATGCGAGGAATCCTTCAAGGGAAGATCATTCGGTCAGAAGTTTATCAAATGAAAAATGAGGTAAGAGATTCACATATTCAAGTACTAGAAGTTGTAAGGCCCTTTTGGCATGACTTTTGAAAAGTCAAAAGAAGCTTTTGAGATTAAAAAATTACTTTTGGACCCGTTTAGCTAATTTTTATAAAAGTGCTTTTGGTAGTTAAAAGAATTTTTTACAGGAAATTGGTCCAAATGTGACTTTTTCTAAAAATACTTCCAAAATAAGAATCTATTTTAAAAATTAGTTTCCAAATAGAAATAAAGGTAGCTTCCTTCAAAAATTCTTTTACAAAAAGTAAAAGCAAAAGGGCCTTTACGGTAGCTGTAGAGAGATTTGAGAAGAAATAAAGACAATATGACACGTTAAAAGCAAGAAAAGTATGATGTGAACCCTATGGCTTAGCTTCTAGTGGCAGCTGAAAATGCCATTTTTTTTTTTTGTTGAAAGCTTAATCTTAATTTCAGGACCTCATAATATGATGGCTTTTGATTGACTTGTTTTTTCACACTATGACCAAATTATCCTCTAGATGCGGGACATCATTCTTGTGCCCAAAAGAAAAGTCGAGTTCGCGTGTGTTTATTATTAGGCCACACACTCAAGGTTAAGCCTCCGTTTGACAAAACTTATAAATCATTTATAAATGGTCATACTTTGCCTTTTGTTTGAGCCTCATTTTTAAAACTCATTTTTCCTCAAACTTATTTTTAACCACACACTCAATAAAATAATTTTACACTTAAATTCAAAAAAAATTCTTACTTTTTAACCAAGCATTATTAAAAAAATATTATTCTAAAACTCATTTTTCACAAAATTGGACCTCAAATATTTCATGTTCAACCATACATTCCAATGGACTCATAAGTACTATCCATCACTTATTTTTTTCTATTTAGAAATTAAACCCTTTAAAAATTCTTTTCAAGTAGAGGCTAGGCTTTTCGATCGAGTAGCATTCGAGAGATGTAGGTTTGATTCCACCTAGTGGTGTATTCTTTGCTCAGCAGGAAGTGTCACACTCTTGGTTTTGGCCTAGCCAAATATTTTTTCAGTCTACCAAAAGAAAAAGAGTTGGCACATGAGAGAACTTGGTGCAAGCCCATTATATGGTGCCAAGATAACAAAACCCACCAAGAAAGAAGTCAGGCTGCTTATGAGGTCTTAGACAGGCTAGAAGATAACCGTGTGAGGGTAGAGAAGGTGGAGATTCAAAAGCTTGAAGAGGACAAAGGAATGACCGAGGGAGACAAAACCTCTGTTCATATATGCAATTAAGGTGGCACCACTTGACGGGCTGTTCAAGATGCCAATCATCCCCTTATTTGATGGGAATAGGTAAATGACATACCATTAAGGCACCTATATATCTTGAATGGAGTTGTATGGAGCACCGGACATTATTGAGTGTGGAGCTTTTCTGGTGACTTTTAACAGGTCTTTAAGAAATGTTATAAAAGAGGACCCACGAATCCATCTTGTGTTAGGCCAATCTAGCTATGTCACTTCTAACTCATTTTACGGGTAAAGCTCACAACGCTTTTAAGAGAAAAATTTGCATCTAATTTCCAACAAAAAGATAAGCCCTTGAAGGGCTACATAGTTAATTTCAATAGTCATCATTGCAGTGGAAAGTATCTTTCATACTGATGCTTTGAAGTGGAAAGTATATTTCATAGTCTTTTTTGCACGCTTTGTTGCTTTCCCATCGTGATAGGTCCTTTATTATATGTCCTCATACATCATTCATATCAAGTTTGTAAAATTTTCAATTTCTATTATAAATTCACTAAAGAGGCATTTCTGTCAGTATCATTCACTGATAAAAATCTATTCTACTATTCTTTCGGGACTTGCTGAAATATCTACACCCCCTTATAGTGAGTTCATTGTTCTTGGTATCTTAAATCTGGAGTACATCAAGTATAAGGAAATATATTTTGCACCTCTAGGGAAAAATGAAGGAATTAAGCTACTTGTACATTCCTTTTGAACATCTTGGTTGACATTCCATGATGTGTAAAAATCAAGGCTATTTATTATTTTAAGTGTTCAAATCAATGGCAAAACTGTGTGCCATATCATGGGATGGGAACAAAATTGTCAACTAAGATGTATGTATAGCAAAACTGAAAATGAAAATATTTTAAAGTAAAAGAGTCTTTACGACCCTTGACTGTTGAGGTTTATTTTTTTATATTATTGGGGAAAAATAGAAAAATGTACAGAAACTATGGAAGTTTTTAAGATTTTTGATGGCCTTCCCTAATACGGGCCTTAATGGTTAAGCTGATTCTGTATACTAGAAACGCAATCAATAATCAGTAGAAAGTGATGTTTAACAAGCATTGCAGAAGTTAAAGACAGACAACATTAGTAACTGTATGTATTTCTTGACAGGACTGAAGAATATCATTGCTCCAGTGAGTAGGGAACAAATCAAAGGATGGTTTCTTCCACTGGTTATGGTAATTCTTGCAATTGTACTTTACTCGTACTTCAAAAATTAGAAGTATGACAGAGTATATTTCTGGTTTGTAATTTATAAAAGAAGATGATGGTATAGAGAGAGAACAAGTATCTTTTATTTTGGAAAATGTTGTATAAAAAGTTGATATGCCGTTTTACCTCACTGGATAATCCATTCTTCGAGTAGACAATTCCCGTAAATTCAATTAACTGTTGCGTTCTTTTCATATTCCCTGTTTCCACAAATATTTATACATAGAACAGATCAATTTTATGTTCCAACAGTTTGGTGACATTATTTTACAGTCTCCAGGCTGACATAGTTTAAGTTTTTAGACGATGCAGTTGTTAGGAATGAGCACAGCCTAAAACGACATAGCGATTATTTTTAGGCTCAAGCTATCAAGTTGCCTAACTGCTGCAGTGACAACTTTTCTTTTCTACATCTTACTCTTAATTGTAAAATTCAAATTTCGTCTGCCCAAAATATGGTCTCGAGCGACATGTTGGAAAATGAGTAACCTGCTTGCCAAATTTAGATGAAATACTAGCTGGTGGACTTGAAACAAATGTGCGTCGATGATAAATGTTAGCTAGATGTCGATACATCGTCGAAAGCTGACTTTGCTGTTAATTCTGTGATACAAAAAGTTTTAATAAGAATGTAAATGTCAAAAATCAGAGGCTGAGTCATCGAAGGGCAATATTTTTTCAACGGGCTAATACGAAAAAAGGGGTAATAATGCATATACCCTAAAAATTGGGACCATATTTAAAAAGTCAGCACAAAATTCAAGGTTAGCTAATTAGTATTGCTACCGAATTATTTACTATAGAAACATAATTAATTCCAACCAATCCAAAATTGGAATTACTCAAAAATTTCTTTCATTGAAATTGAAAGTTAGAAATCAAAAGCAGCTTCTACAAGATTATAGCAGTGAAATTCTTCAGGTAAAAAGATAAAATATTTTTCTCAACTGTAACTTTTATTTTAGAGATCGTAACTTTATAAATGTAGAAACTTGTAGATTTTGGTATTCCATTTCTTCTTCTATTTTAATTTCAATTTTTGAAAAGCATTGAAAGCTCATTTTTTTGTTTGAGGCATGATTGGCTCAAATCGGTGGTCGTTTGAAAATTTTGTTCGTGAACTCTGTTTGTGTTTGTGTATATGAAAATTCGACTTTTGATTAATAGTTCTTAGTATGCATCAAATGGATCGGTTAGGGAGATGCATACAAGGTGTTTGTGATGTAAATATGAATTATGAATTAAGACTTTGTTTTACATTAGAAAGTCTAAAAGGTCACACATTATCTAATTTGAATTTTTATAATAATATTTTTTGCTTAAACTTATAAAAACATTTTAATGATATTCCGATCTTTCTTTATACTATTTGAGTTAGATGTTACCATTGTATCAAAATGAATTTGCTTTTGATGTTTCTAAAATCATATCGAAAGTTGAGCAATGTTACTGAGTTGATTAAATTTTTGGATCTAAGAAGTTAATCAATTTTTTTTTTCTCCCTTTGAGATGCAACGCTAAAATTTTATGAATTTGATAAATATTAGATAGTTTGACAATTTTTTTTAATTGTTTATCATATTTATCTTTGTATTATTACATTACTTCCATGTTTAGAATTTTCATACAAGTGTAGTATATAGTCAAATTCTACGATACATTACACCATATTACTATTTACCCGAGTGCCATACGAGGTGCCAAACAAGCTCTTAACCTAGGTTGCATTAAAAACTTCTAAAATGCTAATATTTCTATTTCGTAAATCGAAACTCTTTGAAACTCTAGAAAGTGATTCTGAAATTTGAAACAAATTTTCTTTTATTTTTATTTTCTAATAAAATTTCGAGAACTTTAGAAAAAAAATCTTATGGAAACCCTTATGCTTGTGTATTTGTTGTTGATTTCAACTAAGAATTAACTTTCTTGAATTTCAATTAAAAATTAGCTTATTTACACGATTTAACCTTCATGCAATAAAAAATGAACAATTGATTCAAGTTTCTAATAGCTTTTTAAAACTAAATAATGAATCTGTAAATATTTTATATTTTATTCCATGTTTCCATAACGACTCATGTTTTACTACTTTTAGAAACGTGTAGCGTTTTTGTAATAGTCTTATTGAAGGAACACTACTCTTTCCTCTCATTTACTAGTTAGAAAAATATTGCTCTTGTGAGTCAACCACAAACAAATACGACTTACAAATTGATGGATTTAAGATTATTTATATATCTCTCACACACAATTAATTAATAATATGTTTGTATTATAAGAAATTGTTCTCCTGCTCACAGTTGACAGTATAAGACTGTTTACTTACTGATGTAGCAAGAGAATTTTACTTATGATTCTCTCCAAAGTGAACAAAATAAGATTTCTCATTGTGGGCAAAAGAACATGAGTGCTATGAGAAAAGAAGTGTTAAGAGAACGGGAGCGTCATGAATCAACAACAAAGAGTTAATCAGTTGAACAAACCCATCCATTAATTTCACTATTTAACTACTAGAAAACATGGCATCACATGAAGAAATACTGGTATTACTGATTTTTTTTCCGGTGACTTTCTCCGACAATGCAAAATGCATCCGAATTGGGTTGTAAAGTTATCTTTGGTGAAAACCTAAGAAATGTTCAACATTAGTAGTGATGATTTCGATCTTTATTTGTGTGTTTTCTACTAGAAAATGTGGTATCAACTGCTGAAAATTCGAGAGATACTAAATATTAACCAAGATTCCAAAACCACAATCATAAACTGAAAATAAAGTGCAGAAAATATAAATAAACATAGAGAAATTTTCAGCCGAAGCCCCAGAGGTTCGGCAACCACTTCTAATGCCTAATCCCCCTGTTAGACATCCATTAAAATGGATAAAACTTGATTGCACTATAAAGCCCCAAAATAGGTAGCGAATATACAATAATATTCCAAAATTATTACAAGTATCAAGTCACTAAAACTTATCTTATGAGAATCAACACGACAGACTTGATTCCAAGAAGAAGTCACGGACCAGATTATACAAATCTCACATCACAGTTTCTGCCATCAAAGAATCACCCATCTTTTAAGAGAAATCACAAAAATGAATGGTATTCCACAAAGGAACCAATTGAGATCACCAAGATCTCCTAAAGCCGAACTGCTCTCTTTCGAAATCACTTCGCATAAGACACATATCACAGCATAAATTGTGCTCCACGGAGGAATGTATGTATCTATAGTATTACTTGAGTTTACAGTTAATATTTTCAACAAAAACCTTCAAGAACTCAAACCCTAATCACTAGAAGAAGAGGGGTTTTCTTGCAAACAGAAAAGTGAGAGACGAGAGAGTCACTTTTTCTTAGAGAGTGAGACGTGAGAGAGAGAAACTTGAAAAACTGGAAGAAAAGTCTCTCACTCAATAAAATGTGAATAGTTGCCCAAATATCTCATGGTTAAGTAGGTAGAAGGATCTAGAATCAAATCCAAAGGTCAGGAAATAAACACTCGTCACAATCCAGCTGTAGAGCTCCATTAATAAGGTGTTATTCCAAAAACACGTTTTTTCCTTCTCTAATTTTGGAGGCTGCAAGTCATGGGTTCAATTCTCAACAATTGCGAAATTTTGACGCGGATAGTTTAAGAAATTTTAAAGGTAGAAGATGCCTTGGTAATTTTAGCGATGGAAAAGGGAGAATCCATCACTATACCGCTAGATTAGCAACAAAGTTTCCTATCCTTTTTAGCAACAAAAAGTAATTTATCTCTAATCGGTTCATCGTCCATAAATAATAGCAATGAAAGTTGTTAGTCGATAATTTTCCATCTATATTTCCAATATCGTTTCATCTTGCCTTGTTCATGACCTCAAATTTGTGTATAAGGGCTTCTGCATTGGGTCCCCGAATTAACACAGAACACTTGAAAATGGGAATGGGTGAGAGATATTCGATATTATTTCGTCATGCATGATGCTATTTCAGTTGCTCTTATGTACGTAGCATAGAGGTAATTTAGCCCACATTTATTTCATTATATTGAAAATGTACTATAATTGGGCCACATTTCCTACATATATCGGTTGCCCCTATTCGATAATAGATCTTATAAGCATACACATTGTATATAGGGATCCCTGTGTCGAAAATCAGACGTCTTAACAAGAATTCTTTTGTCAATACTTCTCTTTAAACCTTCCACACTCGGTAGGTCAAGTCTTTCTGTTTAGAACGAGATCTGTCAAGTACAAATTCGTGTAACTTTACAGGTCATGCACTTTAATTTAAAACGAGATCTATTGAGCTTTAGTAGTGACACGTTCAATTAAAGTATTAAAGTTGGGGCATGATTTTTGTGTCAAAAATAACAAAAAGTCAAATAATAACTGAAATGGGTTGACAAACTACAATTTATTATTCAAAGCTATATGCATTCTGGTCCTTGATAGTGCCCCGCTACAACTACAAGTAATTAAAATTGGCCGTCTAAATTTAAAATTATAGGTAGTAAAATTAAAAGTCCTTGTTTGGGTTCCAGTTTAATGAAATTTCGGAAAAAATGTATTTTGAAATAATAATTTTTTGAAGAATATGTAGTTAAAAAATTAAGAAATTTTTTGAATTTACGAGAAATATTATTTTATTGAAAAATATGTAGTTAAAATGAAGAAAGAAAAAAATACATTAAATTAAAATGGAGCCCACGCAAGAACTAAAGGCAAAAATCCCACATCCATTAAACATATAAGCAATAATCAACTTATGCTGTACTTCAAGATCAATAAATAAAGTGTATTTTAAAATTTCATGAAACTTTTTTTAATTATGTAGAAATCACCTAACAAATAAAGTAATTAACTTATTTTAGACATTTTTTTTTTCTGTATTCTCTCGTAATATCAAGCATAAATTTAACAATCTTAACTTTTAACTCCTACTTGGTTCAATTAAAAAAATCTAATTTAAATTTAAATCAAATATAATAATTAATTTTAACTTAAAATCAACAACTTTTTAATCATATATTTCAATTATTTTTTTGTCAGAATCTACTTAAAGTTTATTATTCCCCCTGTTTGGCTCCCATTTTTTAAAAATGAAAATTGGTGGAATAATATTTTTTTTTGAAAAAATGAGTGATTGAAAAAGAAAGAAAAATTTTCGATTTATGTGTAATATTATTTTATGGAAGATTATGTAGT